TAGTTGAGGTTTTAATAATGCAAATGAAAAAAAAACACAGGGCATTGTGAATCATATCGGAATGTGGATAATTTCATGTGTTATGTGTCTGCGCCTCAAGCATATTTCACGTGCATAATATCTGGCTGACTGACTCAAATTAAAGGCAAAGTTCTGGTTTTGATAAGAATCCACTGAGGCAAAGCAGAAGTGCTGAGTAATCATCCCTGAAAGTAACAAGCCAGGCAAAGCGTATTGTCAGAGTGCAGATAATTGACCCAGAGGACAGCAATCCCAGAGTCTGTACCATTAATGCTTTAATAAGCAATTGTCAATTATCAGGGCTTTTCCTGACATTGCAACCTTTCCCTTAAGGCCAACTACATATTGAGGGACTAAAGAAAAGCAATTAAAAAGTGAACTAATGTGACACAGAAATGGCTTGAAGAAGTGTCGAGCAACCTTTAATTTCTTCCTCCGAGATTCATATTGTGACTTACTGAGGATGAGAACACTGTGATATCACTTGTTGGTATCATCCTTGTAAAAACAAAAAGGCTAACTCAACATGGAAAGGGGGCTCTGAAATATCTTTCTCAGTGTCCTTTGTATTATTATTATTACTTATAGGTCTGGGACATTGCTGGGATACAGGCCTAAATGTATTATGCTGGGATTTATGGTCACACTGTCAATGGGCGAAGAAAACAAGTTCATATTCAGAGCACAAACACAGCCTCTGGACAAATGCCAGACCCAGACAGACCAGATCATTAAAATGTTGGAGAACTTAGGATGCAGCTGGTTACGTGGTCACTTCTGAGAAAAGCACGTCACACAAGATCAACTTGAGATCCAGAGAAACTATTACAACACCCTACCACTGATAAAGGGTTACTAGAGTTTAATCCCACAGCCTACTGTAGATGAGCTCTAATTCACTCAACATTACAGATACTGGTGTTACAATGTTTATCTAAAGCAGTCTTACATAGGGACTGTCTTCAGAAATAATAATCTTGTACAGATTAACCCCTCCATGACTGGCTTAGGCAACCTGGTTCAAAGGTTAAGAGTAGCTAAATCTATACATCTGACTCTTAAAGGAGAACATGCTACCACTGCATCTCAGTCTTGTAAAGCCTCTTACACACCAAACTGACACCAAAGAACACCAAAGAACACGTTGCCTCACGTCTCCTGCGTCTTGGTCATGTTTCGCACTGGAACACACCGCAAAGACTTCAGCCGACGGCCAAGTTGCACGTACGAACTGCGCATGCGTGAGTGGCAATAACTCTCCTTACCAGCAGGCGGCGGTAGTGTGTATTCGTCATTCAAAAGAAGCAACAACCGGAAGACAGACTGCGCGATACACCGAGAGAAGAAGAACAGACTGCGTGATATAAACAATCAACAAATAGCGCGTGCGTTCCATTTTCACTCTACAACGAGAAGCTCATGGGGCTTTCCCGAACCTGTGTCGAGAGCAGGAGTTAAATTAAATCTCAGATTTGCCTTCTTAATAGTTTGTTTGGGTCCCTCACTTCCGTTTCACTTCTCATGCACTGATTCGCTAGCTGAACAGCCAATCAGAGTGATTTCTTTGGCCAACAGCCTACCGATTCCGCGGCGGAAGAAGTCGGCACGGCCGAAAAGACACGACGGGGGCAGTACACACCAATCTGAGTATGGCGACACGACGCTCATCGACGGCCCGACATCTATCGATGCCGAAAATGGGCTTGGTGTGTAAGGAGCTTAAGACAGCAGACTAGCTAGTGACAATCTATTTACATTGAATGCTGCTCCATATAGGCACACACATTTGCATGTGTTATTTGTCCATATTTAGTTTATGTTCACTTTAGATAGGGTCTGGTGGGAAATTGGATTCTGTCAGTGAGTCTGTGTATGGCTAAAATAGGTTAATTGACACATTGTCTGTGTCTTTTATGTAATTTATATAAACATGAGGACATTTTAAATTAAAATACGGACACTTTGGATACTTTTTTTGTTATTGAATATTATTGCACATTTTGTAAATGGTCAAAATGACCATCACGGTGGCCAAATTACTAAATGCAAGGATATGAATATAGATAACATATATTCAAACTTGACTAAAAACAAGACTAAAATGTAAATTATCGTGTTATTAATTTTTTTTCAAAGCCATCATTTTACAATAAAATGCATTAATCTTCCAACTGGGTATTTTATGAAAGATTACAATGTTTGCAATGAAGCAGTCAACATTACAATTTATGCCAACACTAGTAGTTATGGAAATCAGGTTCTTGAAGTGTTTAATATAGATCTTTGACACATGGCTTTCAAAGTGAGTCACAGTGGGACTTTTAGATTCACATGCTGTCTTCTTAAAGGGGACCTATCATGCAAAATGCACTTTTGTACGTCTTTTATACATGAATATGTGTCCCCGGTGTTCGAGGGAACTCACCAAGTGTCAGAAAACACAACCCTCTCTATTTTCCTCCATACCCAAATCTCTAAAAAAGGGGCTGCAACGGATCTGATAAAAACTGATCCAGATTTGAACACTGTCCTGACGTCAGGACAGTGGCGCTACGGCTATTGGGCCAACTCCACCAATCAGGAGGAGACATCCACGGCCATTGCCGTTCGAAAGCGCTGGAGACGCTGTAGTACATATGCCAGGCCTGTAGATGGTGCTGTTCTCACATAATCTGCCCTTGCAAAAACAGAGCTAAAAAATGTCAAATTGAGCAAAATGAGGCATGAATGCATGATCTGTTTGGTATTTTGAAAAAAAAAAAGTATAAATATGCCTTATATAGGTATGGTCCTACACTATATTATTCAAATATAGCATGATAGGTCCACTTTAAGTCTTAAGAAAAAGAGGAAAATACTGAATACTTATTAATTCAGCATAACACAGTTCTTGGCCCATGGAAAAAATACATGTATTTTCTCTTTACAGCAGCGAGGCCTGCTGCTGTGTGTTCTGTCACAGCGGTTTGGCCACACACTGTTTCTCTACTACAAAATCCCTCCTCGTGTGCCATGAATGTCACGACTGCAGCCACAGGCTCCTCTAAAGTAGCACAGGCCTTATTACACCCCCAGGTCACCAATATCCCCTCAGCCTTCACAAAACCCAGCTTATAGAATCAGATACAATGTGTACCTCGACAAATTACTAGCCGGCGGCCTCCCACCCCTACGCAAAGTTCTCCCATTTCAGCCCCCTTGTTCTTTTTCCCCCCTCTCCCCCGTTTTTGTCATGTGGAAACTGGGTGTGAAAAATGGATGTGTTTTTCAATGCAGCCACAGGGGTCTGAGTTGCAGTTTATCGTTCCCTGACTGACAATAAATAAAGATGATCAATAACGCACAGCAGGAAACATTAGAAACGTCACATGAATTATGACGCACCTTGATTACCACAGATAATTATTCAAGGATAATTTATCAGAGAAAATGGTAAGTAAGCTAATTTAGGATGTTTTTTCTTGGAATATTATTTGGCTCTGACTGAGAGCAAAGCCTCCCAGCACCTCTACGGAAGCGGCCCGGGTGTCTGAAAGGCTGAATATAGCTAAGACACAGTCAATTGGATTTGAAAAGTGAAACAAATAGCTGTGACCCCTGGTGAGTTCAACGGTAACTGAGATAATTGACTAATGTGATCAGCAGGTACCTGAATGGATGATGGCACCTGGCTGCAAGACGGAATCCATTAAAGAGATTGTCAGTGTGTGTGTGTGGGGGTGGGTGTGTGTGTTTGTGTGTGTGTGTGTGTGTGTGTACCAATAAGCTTGGGGCACATGTGAGGAAACGTGTTTGTGTGTATGTTTGTGTATGCAGGCTTCTCCAAATGTTAAAGGTCTAGCCCATAATTTCAGTAAATATTCTCCCACTCATTAGGCAAGAATGTGAGGTTGTACAGTAAATAAAGCATGGAAGTGGAGAGAGAGAACACAATAAGGGTTAGGGAGAGGGAAAATCAATGTGATTGAGTGTCCTGTGGATAGCAGACTATTATACCACTGGAGTCTGGACAGTGCATCCCATTTTATGAGAGTGGGGGAGAGAGAATGAGGGGGGTGGCTGGGGGAGGCAAAGCGCCTTGTTTACAAAAAAACGACTCAAATCTAAATCCCCTTGCCTTTAGAGCCTGCCGCGAACACATGGCTCGGATCACGTGGTCACTGACATCTGCCCAGCAGCATCACAATACCAGAGAGTTGACAGCTTGCATTGTCGGGAAGTGATTAAGTGGAATGCGCGGCTATTACTGCACAAAACGGACTCCACGTAACAAACACAACTTGATTCAGACAGCCTACATAAACTATACGAGGCATTAAACAAGCATAAACAGGAATGGAGTTACATTATTTCAGTCACTGATCATTTACCAACATGCGGGCTGCAATTCATCTTTTCCAAACATCCCACGGCATACGCGTAAAATCTAAACCGGACTAAACAGATCTCTCGCATCATCCTGTCATCTCTAGGATCCCTGATTTGCCACTGATCTATTCACAAACAGCATCTCCGGACACTGTGACGCACTTCATCAAGCTCTTCTAGAATTAAGTATCGACTACAAAAAGAGAGCACGGGCGACCACAGCATCGGTGCTCAGTGCGTCACATCAGCGAGGGCGTTTGAGCTCTGGGCTTCAATCATGCAACCCCCCAACCCCAACGAAAAAAATGTCACTTGCATTATATTTTGTATGTTAAATAAATACTAAGGGCTTTCTTGTTTTGTCAGGACTGGTTAGTGAGATAAAAGTTGGACATGCAATCAAATAAACTCTCATCCGATCATCAGTTGACTTCTTTATAATCTTGCAGAAAGTTTTAAGCAGAAAAAGGAGAAACATCCTCCTCCAAAAATAAACGTATGCTCTCCTTTACTACGCTGTATGAAGCATGCCTCTGCCTGCTCGCGGGCAGGATGCTGCTTTGCACCCGGAGGGAGACTGGAGGAGAGAAAAGTTGGAAGACGACTCCTACCTTATTATCGCTGTGTCGCCCTGGCGGATGGTGATGTTGTCGGTGGCCCGCTGCATATCCACACTCCGGACGGGGAATCCTGTGGGGATAAGACAAAGCAGTCTGAACAACGAAGCCTGCAATTGCCTCCAACACGATTTGCGTCCGACTTGCATTTTAAAGCACAGGAGTGCGCTTTTCGGGAGCTATAGATCCAAGGGTAGAAAAAAGAAGGACAGACGAGAAGTAGTTTCCCACACTTCTCGGAAAACGAGAATGCCTCTAGTTCCAAAGCAGTGCACTTGATACGGGCTAAAATACTTTTGGGACGGAAACGTGCCGTGATTTTCGGCGTCCTCGCTCTATAGTCCACTGATGCGTAATGCTTTCTGCGTAAAGGGACGGCACAGCCAGCAACAGCGATGGAGAGAGGCAGGCTTCTTTACAGAGTCTGAGAAAAACGTCCCCCTCAAAAAAAAAACACCACTAACATACCTCCCCTCCCAATACCTCGATATGATCTCGATGCGATCTATCTCCTTTTTCTTATATCAGTATCATATCCGCGCTCTATAGATCTATCGCTATACGCTCTCTCTCTCTCTCTCTCTCTCCTCTCTCTCTCTCGCTCTCTCTCTCCCTCTCTCTATCTCTCTCATCCAGCCGTCTGGCTGTGAATCTCCCCTTATTGGTTGTCAGGACAAACAGCACCACCTGAGGTTCCCTTTCAGTGAGACACAGCTGAGTGATACTGGCTAAAAAGGAAACAAATAAAGTGATTTTGATAATTTGTATAAAGGAAAAGGTGTTGAGCAAGAATATTATGAGAGCAGTCTTCCTCCATGGACAGAAGTCCCAAAAGGAGACATGAAAGTGGCAAAGGGGAATATTAATGCTGAAAACAAACCATCCAGACTAGTTCCACATGTCCATGAACTGTATGTTCCTAACTCCCTGGAGGTGAAGCTGAGCAGAAATACACTTTCTCAGTTCAGATCACAGTGTCACATTACCATTAGTCTTCAAACAAACTGTGCTCACAGGTATCCAGTTTTCTAGAGCAGTGGCTCCCAATCATTTTCACACCAAGCTGATTTGCATTGATTAGACCATGAACCCTCCAGTGCATAAGGCTTTCTGTATACTTAATTATGTTAACGTGATGTTAGGTACAGTAGCTATTGTTGTAGATGCTTCTGTGTGTTAATGTAACCCCCATCAATACACTGTTTTGAAACATAATACAAAAAACACAAAATATGTTCTCCTTTTTCTCACCATATTAAATCCCTTCCCCTATCAACTCAAAGTAATTAAGTGAACACAAAGATTCAAGAGCGCAAACACTGTTGACCATGAGGCAAGCTCAGCTGCACTTAACCATAAATGTAGACCTCTTGTCTAGACTGCCTGCTCTGCCACGAGGCAGTAGCTTGGTAAGCAATTACATCCACATTAAACCTGAGCAAGGACACACGTTCTGAAAAGGTATTACCTTCCCATTCAACAAAAATGTGAATGCAGAATGAGGTTCCAATTTCACCACTTGCCAATCAAGCACCGGCTTAATAGGCTGTGATCTAATGCTCATTCGCGATGTGCTTAATGAACTGCAGAGTAACAATTAAGTCAGTGCACTTAGCATTTTATTTGATTCAGAAATACATTAATACTAATGTGAATAGTTGTCATTCATTGCACGGTCCCATTTTTAGTTTTGTCTCTGGAGGCGTTTGGTTTTTGATCAGGCACATAAAGTTTTAATTCTAGCACTCATAATCTGCATATGGATACTGCACTTGAATGTAGAATGATAAAATATGAACATAAGATTGCAGTAAGTTGCGTGATCATCTATCCTTATCTCTTAATTTAATGCAATTGTTCTGGTGCACATACAACAAGGAGTAATCCTCTTCACAGCGATAGAAGCTTGATTGAACCAGTGCACAGTGGTTATACCATATTTCCAGCCTCAGCAGATTTTAAGCACCAGATCAGAGGTAAATGGCAGTTTGAGAGCAGCCTCTCCAGCAGCTGTAGCTTACTGTGAAATGTAGGCTGTACGGCTAGATTAGAGAAAATCACAGTGTGAAAAACGTGCACATCGCTGACAAAGAATTACATTGAGATAATTGATATTTGGGATGTTTTGAGGTGCTAATGCTGCATTAATTAAGGAGCACTAAAATGTTTTCAGGGAGGGATGCTCGCGATGCGGATCCCTACTTGGCCCTTAATAACCAGTGCATGTTAACATTTCCTCAAAGCTCTTGGAGGTTTGAGCTATCTTGAAGATTGCACAGTTTATGAAAGAGCATATACATTAGTACTACTTAAAAAGAGACTTCTGGGGCTCTTGAGAGGAGAGAAGAGGCGCTCTTCTGCATACAGATTTAATCAGCAATGGCTCCCATATGGCTTTTAGCTTCACTTTTTGTTAAAAATGATCAGAAGTCTGTCAGTGATCTTAGAAATTAGTGGGAATCTTGTATGCAGAGAGATGAAGGAGGGAAAGAAAGCAGCTTTAACCAGTTCCTAACAAAAGGCTAGTCACACACACACACACACACACACACACACACACACACACACACACACACACACACACACACACACACACACACACACACACACACACACACACACACACACACACACACACACACACACACACACACACACACACACACACACACACACACACACACACACACACACACTACTACTATAAGCACTGAGGTGAGATTACATTCAAATTGAATTTGGTGCTTTGCTGATACAGCTTATTTGTCGATATGATTCAGGATTGATTATAGTTGCATGCTTAAAAAATATGTACACTGCAATACAGATAACAAATATTCTACAAAAAATATGCAAATGTCAAACATTGAGGAGAAGTCCTTAATAGCTGTATCTTCTATGGAAAGTAGTGCAGTATGTGACAATTTAATTAAGAAACAACACTGTTTAGGAAATTAACTTCTTCCTTAAACTCTGTGTAGTTCAACCTGGGGAGGTGAGAGCAAGGAATGCCCCAGGTGGTGATATTATTAAAATACACCATAGAATAATTTAATATCTAGAAAGTATGTCTCTGCTGCTTCGCACTTACAGTATCTACGGGGGAATCACACCGCATTGTAAATCACACTGAGTTCATTTATCCTGGATTGAGATCTGTAAATGTTTTCAATATTTTTTAGCAATATGTGCCTATTGTAAACATTTTTACAGAAGGTCTGCGTCAAAGGGCAGCTACCATAGTCATTTTATTATCAAATATTACGAGGTGCCCTGACATTCTCCCCATGTCATTAGTCATAATAACTCCAGCAGAGCAACTCTGCATGGCCCCACCGATCAAAGAGGAGGAACTCAGAATAGCAGAAATAAATGAATATTAATGGCTCTGGCGAATGAAGATCCAGTCTTTAAACTGAAATCACATACCATTTCTGAGAAGTTAGTTGATTTAACATTTGCAAATGTTAAATAAAGGCATGAGTCTGTGGCATGAAAATGGCTTGGCACACACTCTACTGATTCAGAGCTTGACTGACAAATATAGGACAAGTAAAGCAAGGCAAGGCAAGTTTATTTATATAGCACTTTTCTGTACGCGACAATTCAAAGTGCTTTACAAAACAAATTAAAATACTTTTTATGAATAAATACAGTAAAAACACATTATATAATGGCATTTTACAACAGGCATTACAAAGCAAAGATAATAAAATAATAATAATAAACACCACAGGTATACAATACATGTTTAAAAGGCATACTGTAGTTCGAATATGAGCAGCTCAATTAAAAGCAGCGGTAAAGAGATATGTTTTTAGTCTTGATTTAAAAATGGTAAGTGTTTCTGCGGACGTGCATGATTTGGGTAGTTTGTTCCAGAGTGTCGGGGCATAATAGCTAAATGCTGCCTCTCCATGTTTGGTTGTTACTCTCGGAACCGATAGCAGACCCGTCCCAGAAGACCTGAGGCACCTTGATGGCTCGTAATTGTGTAGGAGTTCAACAATATACGTTGGTCCTAAACCATGTAATGATTTAAAAACTAGCAATAGTACTTTCAAATCAATTCTTTGGCCGACTGGAAGCCAATGTAAAGTTTTCAGAACCGGACTGATGTGATCCACTCCAAGTATAGTATAGTTTGTATTATTCTGAGCAACCTTGGATAAGCAGAATCATTACATTTTTGTATACAATATACATTTTTGTTTGAAGTAGCCAACAAAAGGTAGACGGTCCAATAAGCTTTCTTTCTGGGGAAATTGTATCGCTAATAAGTATTACTAATGATCTCATAATAGAACTGCAGTTTCATGCTGTGTGAAAACGCAAGCTCTCTGATGTGATTACAGTGGAAGAATAGACCATAGCATTTGGTTACAATAATTTGCTCTTCAGTCTACTTCAAGTGAGCTACAGCCAGCATGTGATGGATGATTTATAATGGCTGTTCTGCGTACTTTATCAGACTAATTCGTTTGTGCTGCCGTTTGTCTCACAAAGCCAGCCCTTTGCAATTGAAAACAACGATGTGGTGTGGTAGAAAGACATCAGGAAGGCTTACTGTAATCTTGCCTCCCTTCACATTACTTTATTACACCACAAAATGAACTGGATTTCATCAGTTTCACATGGATTCATCATTCCTGCATAGTTCCCATGATCTGTTGTCCTTCTCTGTATCAGTGCATTCATTCAGACATCTATGGGGATATGTGCAAAATCGAAAAATATACAGTGTGCTCGTGTCAATGTTTCTTGTCCATTAAATTAAGCACTTCCTTCATTTCAGATGTTAAAATTGCTAATCATTTTATAACAGGCTTGCATTACAACCTGGAAACTTTGTTTTTGTAAGAAATAGTTTTTCACAAGGCAGCAAGGGTCTAAGACACTATTCGATTATATTATGGGAAGCATTGGATTCATTTGTTTTGGAGCTTGACCTATACAAAGAACTACAAAACAAGATATCTCCTCTTCTTTCTGCTACACCTCTAACTTTAAGAAAGGCACTAATAACACTCAACAAGTGTTGCATTAAATAATAAATAAACAATGGCACATTTATAGTGACAGACATTTATTTTTTGTTTTTCTTGCACTGTACCGCATTGTGACTTCATAGTTCCATCAAAAACATTGCACAATAAGGTGTGCCATAGAAGTTACCCCTCTATGTCAAGGATTACTGCTTGTTTGACACATAAACTAGATGTTAGTACATTTACAAAGAAAATAAGCGAAAATTAGAAACACCTGTTAGTCCTGTTATGGCAGAATGTTTAATACAGCGTATTTCTGATATTTATTAGAGATCACATGCAAAGCTATATGATGTGTGTTACTGAGTTGGGTCACACACAGTTAGAGAGACAATGGTCGTTCTGAATTATCAATAGATGTATTCATTTTAAGTGAGCTGA